AGGACTGGGAAGGCCACCATATGAGGAAAGGCTGAAAGGACTGGGTTTGTTCAGCCTGGAGAAGAGAAGGCTCAGGGGAGACTTCATTGCCAGTACTTACAAGGGTGGCTACCAAGAAGACAGACACTCCCTATTTACAAGGAGTCACATGGAAAAGACAAGGGGTAATGGGTGCAAGTTGCTCCTGGGGAGATCCCAAATGGACACCAGAGGAAAATGTTTCACTATGAAAACAATTAGTATTTGTAATAATCTCCCAAGGAAGTGGTGAATTCCCCAACAATGGACACTTAAAACCCAGCTTGACAGGGTGCTGGGCCACCTCATCTAAACCATGTTCCTACCTAGAAAGGTTGGACCAGATGATTCTAGAGATCCCTTCCAACCTGGAATTTCCTGATTCTATAGCTCAGCAGCTCCCACCACACAGCCCATCTTCTCTCACCTAACTGATGCCACAAGTCTGGATCTTGAGTCTTGGATTTTCCCATGCAAGGCATGATTAGTAAAGATAAAAAAGTTTTTATATACTTAAACCTCTCTAATAGAATAAAAGAAATCACAGCTCCCTCACCTTGACTTACAACAGCAGCTTGTGAAAAATGAAAAGCCTTGAAGGATTTGGAATAAGAAACTTGGAGAGACAATTGCTAATCTTTTATCTTCCAGACTTCAAGCAGAATCAAGTTCTTCAAAGAAAACCCAATAAAGCCCAGACATTTTCATCATAACAAAATAAATAATTCAGTCACCCTTTAGAGGACTCCAACATTAGGATCAGCTGTTTGATATATTTGTGGCTTAGGCACCTCTAAACTGATTAAAGATAACCTGATAGAAGTTTGCAATGTCAAAACCGCCTTCACTCCTGGCAGATATGAATGGAGAGTGTCAATAACTGTAAATAACCAAAAGGGCTGCATTTATGCCTGACTGGAGGATTTACAGCCTTCAGAGCCACTGGGAGGACTGAGAGTTTCAGCTCTGCCTTTATCCCAGCACTGCACACAGGGGAAGATGACTTGACACCCTCCTCACACCATCTGCTCTGCCAGAGCCACCGGGGGCTCAGCTCCAGGGGGGAGAAACATGGGATTCTCCCAGGAGGAAGAGAACACCATGCACGTACAGCCAGGCTGAGCTGTGTTGATTTGTCTCAGTTTTCCTAGGAACTACTCTGAAACACACACCTCTGAAGCCCCTCAAACCTCCATAGCACCCACACGCACCCTCAGGTGCCCAGAGCTCCTCTGTCTCCCAGCTGCCAGTTGCAGAAGGTTCAGGTCCTTTGCCTTGGAGAGGGAACAGAGAAGGTCTTAATTTAAACCTCCAGGCTTTCACCAAGGGGGACTCAACTGCAGCAGCCCAGCCAGTTTTCCAGTCCAGGTAATTGCCTCCCCAAGTGTCCCCCACATTTCCAACCAAGTCCCAGCAGCTCTGCAGCCCATGGGAGCTGTTTGGGCAGTGGGTGGAAGCAAGCCCTGCACCCACACAAGTGGTGGGATGGCCAGATTCAGGTCAGAAACAGGCATATGAGGTATCTGAGGCTCCAGAGGTCTCACTATCACTGCCAGGAGAGGTTGGAGCAGCCACCAAGATGGTCCCACAGCCTGGTGCTGGCACCACACAGAGAGAGGCCACACCAGGACGTGGGTAACATCAACAGCAGAGGCTGCAGGAGGACACCAGCAGATCCTGCCCAGAGCTCATTTGAGCAACCCCTGACAGCAATGGCAGCAGCTCACCCAGGAGCAGCCCCCAGCTCTCCCACTCCTGTGTTTCACACCTACTGGGGTGGGAGATCACCAGCAGGTCCTACACACAGCAACAGATGCAGATGCTCCTCTGCCCTTGGAGGATCCTTCTGTGCTTAATTGTGCTGCAGTCTTTCCACTTCTTAAAAAAAGTCTCTTTTCCCTTGGTGGGGTGTACCCTGAAAGCATCAGCACCTGCTGAAGCCTTAATTTCCTGTCACCCCCCGTGTGACACAGTCAATATCCAGGACAAGAAATTCAGTGATCACTCCAAAGCAAATTCCCAAACTCAGGAAGCAGGCAGCAACAGAGTGATGAACATGCACAGAACCCAGGCCCAGGGAGCAAAGCTCTTCAGAGGGGGAAGGAGGGAAAGAACCAAGAACCACCCTGGTGTTTTCCTGGTCAGGTTTACCTGTCATGAAGCTGAGATGTTCAGGTGGAATATTTATGATGCCAGCAGAGTTTAAGGGCTTGGGATTTTTCCCCCTGTTGTTTCAGCAGGTGGTGGCAGGGCCAGAAACCCCCCAGCACAAAGATCTAAGGTCAGGGGGAGGTGAGGGGAAGGAGCACCCTGCAGGCAGGGCTCCTGCTCTTTGCCACAGCAGGTTAGGGGCACCTCCTAACCAGCTAGTTTGGGCGATAACCACAGACCAGCACTAACCTCTACTAGCAAAAAGACAACTCAGCAGGTTGGGGAGCAACGTGGCTCAATGAAGCTTCACCTTGTGCAAAGGAGGTGCTGCCAGGAGAGAACCTGAGCCAGGAGCTGCCCACAGGCAGATGCCAGCAGGGACAGGCCAAACTGAAGAGAAAAACCCACCCAGAAAGCAACTCCAGAGTAAGATGTAACTGCAGCCAAGGCAGCTACAATCCATTTCAACCCTGTCAAACGCAGCAAGTTTCCAAAGAATTAAATCACTACTTAAATCATCTTAGTAATTTAAAAAAAAATGCCTGTAAGACAAGACCAGGAGCTAATTATACCATTTACATTTAGTGAAGGAGGGTTTCTTCTTTTTTTTTGGTGGGATTTTTCCTTCTTAACTGCAATAAAGAAAAAGCCCGAGGGTCTAAAATTAATAATCTAATAAACTTTGCTAAGTGAACATTGTAACAGATAGGCCTGGATGAGATTTTCTGTAAATGCCAGACAATTTCCCTTGATCTTTATCAGCAGAGACACTGCTCTGGCTTCAGCAAGAAGAAATTAAATTTGGTGCAAAATAACAACATCTGGGTGAGACTGTGTTTGTCAAACCAGCAATGCCAGGCTGAGAATATTAAAATTAACTCGGAAGGGTTTCACATTTGTGTTTCCATACCAACATATTAGCCCACTCCAGAGAGCAGTGCAACTACCCTCCCTCAGTGCAGGATCCCCAGCTGGTGCCAGGGCCAAATCCAACCCAAAACACACAGCAGGACAGCAGCAAGTTTCCTGCAACCAAGTTTCCTTGGTTATTTCAAGATAACCAGCACTTATCTCAACGTATTCTTAAACAAGCAGCAAAAGATCCACTTATTTAAAAATGTGGTTATTCTACATACTTGGAGACTAAATTTGAAGATAACAAAAGTTAAAGGATTTTCAAAGTCTCATGAATTGTCCTTCCAAGTCCAAAACCCTTTATACAAGGTAATTAAAGTGAGCTCCTCAGTGGTTCCAGCTAGGAATTCCTCTTCTATAATGGGATTGCAAAAGATTTTTAAAATTATTCATGATGTTTTATAAGCAGAAACAGTCATGAGTTATTCAATTAAAATGCTTTTTCTTCCCCACCATCAAGACTAATAATAATTCAGCACACCAAGGCTTTTCAGAGACCCAGCAGCTCCAAAACCCCTGCACAGGAAAAGGGCTCTCGTGGCCAGGATGGAAATCATGGTTTTAAAATAGGGGGAAAAAAAATAAATCAGAGGAAAGGATTCATCTTTTTCCAGAAGATGTAGAAAGTTCAGAGTTAAGAGCACCAGAGCCTGCTACATTATGCACAGGCTGTAGTGACACAGGGTGTCATTCACACACAACAAACACTCTAATGGTACTTTTTGTCAAATGGTTGGGGAGGAGATAAACACTTTGTATTCCAGCCAGGCTGTTCACCATTTCTGCAGCCAGTCCCATTTCCAATGCCTAGGAAACCAATCTCTTCTTAGTTTTACTTCATTCTGCTTAGCAGAATTGGGACTTAATGGTCACTGCATTAAGAAGCAAGGGGGGGGTGAAAGTGCTGTTACCTCCACAGCAATTTATTTGATCTTACATTGAGAAAAACAACACATTAAACTTGATCAGTCAGTTGTGGACCAGCACAGAGCTTTGCCATCATCCCAGAGGCTTCAGCCAGTTTGGGTCTTGCTATTAGTCAGGCAGGAGCAGAAACAAATCAATTATTCTGAAAAAAATAGCTGCATGAAGGAAAAAAAAAAAACACATGCTTGACTGCTCATCCCTTCTTTTTTCAATATAGGCAAAAATGCCCTTGATACAGAATGATGGAACCTGAATAAGGGAGCACTCAACAAGCAAGCACTCGTTTCACTGCACATTAACCATGGACAGAGCATGTTTTGCCTGGATAAAGGCCCTAAAGAAAGAAATGCAGATTTAAGTGACACAAACTAGTCCATAACCACAGTAGAAAATACTTGTCAAAGGCCAGTTTTGCTAAAAAGACACCACATCACAGCATCATTAGGAAAGTGAGAGAGCTGCCAGCACAGCACACATGGCACCAGGTCACCAGGCACCTCAAAACCCCACAGAGAGCAGCAGGGACCCCACTTTGAGCAAGGCAGCCTCTGCCCACCCTCCCATGGAGCTACTGATGGTCTTCTGCAGTGGACAACAAGGAGCAAGGCACCCGTTTTGGTCAGATGCCCAGCAAGCATTACACTGGGTTTGCACCCAGTGGTTCTGGGCACTGGCAGGATCACACAAGATGGTACTTGCACAGACAGTTTAATTCTTGGGGAAATGGGGGTTTAATATTTTTAAATCTGGGCTTGAAGAGGCTTAGTCTTTAACTTCACATTTGCTGTTTCAGCCACAGGAACATTTAAGGGCAATCCCTGCACAACAACTGGGCACTGAATCAGGTGTGTTATTGGTCACACAAAGCACAGATAATACACACAAACTTATGGAAACAAGTGAACAGAAGCTTCCAGCCACCTGGGCTCTGACTGCCAGGTGGTGAGGAAGAGGAGCAGAAGAGCCTCCTCCTCCCAGCCCGTGCTCACCTTGGAAGACAGCAGCGTTCTGGATGACCAGGAACTTCAGCTCCATGCTGGCAGACTGCAGGAGCTGCTCCATGCTCAGACGGGCTGTTGCCTGGTACTTCTCCTCCATCTTCCTGGAGCAGCACGTGGAGCCCTTTGGGGTACATACCTGCAGATCAGACCCTGGAGAGGAGACACAAGCAGGGCAGAAAAAACGTGCGTGAGGAGGAGCTGGAATTGCTGGGAGAGGAAACAAACTCCAGGTGCTGGTATCGCTGCAATGACCCTCTGGGCAGAGTGAGGACACTTCTGGAATTTGTCCTGAGCAAGGAGCTTGGCCAAAGAAGGAGAAGCCTGCTCAGGCAGAGGCAGGACTGCTGAGCAGCCCCCAGAGCTCTGCTCCTGCCTCAACTCCCACACGAGCCCCCCAGGGCTGGTGGCCAGCAGAGCATGGCCCTGCTGGCTCCTGCACAGCCACCACCCCTGGGCAAACAGGGGATGGACTGGGAGATGGGACAAGGAGCCAGCATTTGAAGCTGTGGGTTTGCAGCAAAGGGAGGAAGGAGCACAGCTCAGCACACAGGACTTGCCTGGAATTTGCATAAAGACTTCAAGCTGGCTTAAAACAAACAACTGCATTACTTGCCTGCCACCTCCATCCTTTTGCAGCCACAGCAATAACAGTAACAACAGGAGGGCAGAACAATAACAATTATTTCTTTTTGATGCAGACTTCTAAGCTGTGCAAACCTCCTGAGCCCTCCCACCATTTTCACCATCTCATCCTTTCTCCAGAGGTTCATGGCTTCCTCTGGGCAAGTCCCACTGCAGAGGGGCAGGTCCTGAGACCTGCACTGAGCACTGAGAGAGGCAAGGAAGTGCCTTTCAGCAGCAGATGTTCCACTGCATGGGCAGCACCTCCACCCATCCAACCAGGAAGGTGCAAAAGCCAAGGAACAAAGGCCAGAGGAACATCACCTGCTCTGGCATCTCAAGATAAAACTTGCAGCACTGGTCAGTGATGCTGGACTCTTTTTTTTACATTCCCTATGTGTTCCCAAAGCTCATACTTCTGGAAGCAGTAGGCAATTTTTAGCTAAAAATTGAGAAATAAATCTAGAAAAAAAAGATATTCATCTTTTGAGTTCAGACATCAGGAGAAGATGGAGCAGAAGAGCTGGAAGCAGCAACAGAAAGTCTCATTCTGATCACCCTTCCCTGGCAAACCCTGGCCCCACAAACACAAGCAGAGCAAGAAGCTCATATCAAAGCAAACAGCTCTTGTCATGCAAAACTCATCTAATCTGCTGCTGCTGTTTTGCTACAGAGGGGTTTTCCCTGCAATAAAAGCAAGTTTGGTAATAAACATCTTTGTTCTGCAAGGATTCCACCTCCTTCCATGTTCCTCTCTCCTCACCTTCTTCAGAGTCTTGCCACATCCACTCTCTCACTAATTAGTAGAAAGTGTCAAAAGTCACATCTGTAAGGGTACTCCACAAGAGGAGGACTCATATTAATTCAGTTCAATCCTGTACCTGCTGGAGAAGAGTCCTGCACAGCTCTGAGGGCAGGGCAGCTGTCAGGGCTGGGGAGCAGTGACAGCAGAAACCCACCTCCCCCCTCCCTGCCCCTGTTGGGGAAAACAACTCCAAACACTTCACCTGCAACCTGCACTTCAGGCACTGAGAGGAGATTTAACCAGTTGAGTCCTGCTGCAAAACAACACATGGCAAAGGGGAAGAAGGAGCCTCAGCCCAAGGCTGCACCCAGATCATCATCCTGGCTCCATCCCCACCTGCTGACTCACTTTCCCCTTCAGCACAGCAGGATGGCAGCACAAATTCCTTCATCAAGCCCTCCAACAAAGAGCCAGCACCACTGGCATCTAAAGATCTCAAGAGCTCAGTATTTCATGCATCAAAACTCAACAGGGACCATAAAGCCACAGAACAACAAGACACTGCATTAACGAGAGGAGCAGTTTTATAACAGCAAGTGAAGGAGCTTTTTTTAAGTCAGCTCCAAGTCCATTTGCAGCACAAAAAGGCTTAGCATGGTCCCTTGAACACCACTGTGCAGCCACACAGTTCCTGGCAACACAAAGCTGATTCCTCCTGCATTTATCATAGTAGGAAATGTTTCAAATTTAAAAGAAAAAACAAACCTTCTGTGATTAATGGCAATTCCAATCTAGAAAATCTGAGAGCTGGCAATTAAAAGATCTGTGGATGTTACAGTCAGGGGTAGGAAGCAGCAAGGTCACCTGCTCAAGTCTCATCCTTCTTTTCAGCAATTAAGCAAATTTCTCCCGTTAAGTGGATTTGTATTTTGGTGAAGTGAAGAGGCAGCCACGTGCTGCAGCAGAGCCATCACAGAGGAGGAGGAAAAAGCCTGAAGATTAACTCTGACAGCTTAAAACATTCTACAGAGCTAGCTAACCCACATGGGTGACCAGAGATGCCGTGGTAAATGCAACAGGTCAGAACAGGCTTTTACCAGCGACCAGGAACAAGGTCCTTCTTGGTCCAGGGAGCTGCTACAGAGGGCCAGGGGATGGGGCCTGTTTCCCACCTGCCAGCTCTTTGCTGCTCATGGCTTTGCCAGAGGAGAGGTTGAGCACACCCAGACAGACCCATCTTCTAAGTCCCAAGAGTAAGGAAAGGAGGTTTTGCTGCCCAGGATCCCAGTCCCCCAAGAGCCATTTACTCACCAGTGGAACAGGGACTGTGCTTCCTGACCTACCAATACCCTTGGGGCTTATTCATGTCACACCTCAGAGGACTCTCTTCTGCCCTCACACTGCAGCACCACCCAAGAGACCCAGGTCCTGCAGCCCAGAGCCAGGAGCTGTGCAAACCATGCACGTTCCAGGAGCATGGTGGATGCAGGGACACAAACACCTGGACACACCACAAGCCTGCAGAGCTGACACTAGCATGAAATAAACTGCCACTTGTTTCTGGCTCCACAAATGCCATGGAAATGGTCCTATGAATCATTAGATCCTACACTCCCACACCTCCTAACCCACCCTCTAAGCATTTTATCTGATACAAACCCCCCCAGTGATAGCTCTGACTTTGAAGATAGCAAAGTCCATTCCACTGCCTAATGGCCCTTACTGTTAAGCCATTTTATCTCCCAGCCTACCCTCCCCTTTTTCTTAAAGTCTCAAGCCATTACACCTCGTAATTCCAGCCCCAGCCCTTGTAAACAACCTCCTCCTTTGCTACAGAACATTACAAATTCATTTTCAGAAAGGAAGGGGCCCACAAATGACTCCATCATCTTCATTAAATTGCATTTGGCTGCTCACGTACCAATGTTGGCAAGATTAGTGGTACTGATGTGATGCTGGGCATGGGACAGTGACCCCCTGGCACCCACCTCTCCTGGGTGAGAAGGAGCTGGATGCAAACACCAGGCACCCTCAGAGCACTGGGCCATTTATGCCATCTTGGGGAGCAGCAGTGTAAATGCTCCAGTAATTTTGCACTCACTTGTAGCTGACAGAACTAATCTCTACAGCTGCAGTGACTTCAGCAGCACCCCTGCCTCTTCCTCCTCCTTCTGACAGAGGGAATTTGTACTGAAGTCAGTGAATTTAGAGCATTCAATTTTACTTTGATGTAAAATTATTCCCACTGATAAGCGGTTAGTACAGCAGAAGTGAAAATCATTTCAGTGGATTAAATGACAAAAAAAGCCCCTCTGAGATCACCTGCAGGCAGGTGTGAACTCCTTCCTGAGGCTGAAGGACTATATTTTGATTTTAATCACCCCAGGACAGCTCCAGCCCTGCCAGCAGATCCAGGCAGACAAGCCAGGCACACAGACCTGCCCACCCAGATCCAACAGCAGCTTAACCCAGATTAACATTCCCCCCCAGTTTTATCCCAGGCTTTGCCAAAATAAGAGCCTGGCCCTGGTTAATGTTCCTGCAGCCTCCTCCCCCTTCTGTGGTCTGGAGATGTCAGAGGGTTTCGTGCCTCCCTCTTAGCTCACCCCTTGGTTAATGTTTCCCATAAGAAAGCTGCTGCCTTGTGTTAATTTTCTTTCTCTAATTGTTTCACAGTCAGCACCACGCTTGAAGCAGGGGGAAAAAAAGCAGTGATTCAACCTCTAAATGTAGTAGATTTTCTCCCAGCTATTTCAATACTCCTTTTTATTAAAAACCTTTTAAATTATGTGACATGGGGATCGTGCATCTGTCGCCAGCTTCTAATGCTCAGCATTTGGGGGGAAAAGGAAATGCAACTGCTCAAAACCCACATTAAGGGCTGATGTTTTTAAAACCTAATTATGGAGATATAAATTATAAACCAACCTCGTTCAATAGGTGATTAAAGTTGGAGCAGCATTGGTACTACGTGGGATATTTATTGCTGCTTCATTATCCTTTTCTATTCCATCTTGTGTTTCACAAGGCCATCTGACTCTGGATTCCTTCCCAAGTCTTGCCACGTTGGCCAGATGATTGCCATGCAAATACAACCCTCTGTAACACCCCATCTTTTAAAAGAAGAAGTTATAGAGCAAGCAGGGACGTTTTACAGAGTCAGGTTTTTCTCCTGACAAATGTCTCAGCAATACTGTCATCAAAAATATGGAGTTAATTTGTGGGCACCCACTCAACCATACACATTTGTTACAGTCACACACCCACCCACCCTATGGCCATTCCAAAGGCTGGGAAAAACACCATTCTGGATGCTGTTAAATTTAACCCCTGTGGGGATGGGGGGAAATTAATGGTCTCACTATAAAACCACTGCCTGGGGAGGTTACTAAATTTTAGGGTTCTGCTCCTGCTCTCTTAACTATCAAGAGAGCAACTTGCAGGCCTGAAATAATTAAGAACAGAAAACTCAATTATCTAGTAAACTAAGATCTTAAACCTCCACGCTAAGCTAAATGGAAAGGCTGCAAGGGGAGGAGAATCATTAGTCCCACTTGGGAAAAAACAGAGTAAAAGGGCAAGAGTACAAAGGGAGTCAGGTCTATAAGCAAAGGTGCCTTGAGAGAAGCTGACATGCTCAGCCAGCCAGTTGTTGAGCTTTACACCTCCACTCCAGAAGCAAAAGGTTTATCTCCTCCATTTTTTTAGGGTGAATCCAGATTTGCTTCCATCAAAGGGAATGAACAAAAAGCTGGAAACTGCTTTCTGCTGGGGGAGGAGGAAAACAGACCTGCTGGCAGGTATCTCTGCTGAGAGAAATAGTCTTCAGCTTTCCTACAGCCCAGGGGAGAGACATCCATCCCCTCTCTGCCCAGCTTGGCAAGGCAACAACTCATCCCTTCCCCTCTTCCCACATGCACCAGCCCAATTACTTGAAGTGTCACCACAAACACAAAGAGATCTGAATGGCAAAGAGGAGAGAAAAACAGACCTGGGAAAAAAATAATAATGGAAATTTGAGTTCCTGTTTATCCATGAGAAATTATGCAGAGAGAAGACAAAAGGAAGAAGAAAAGCAAGACAGGCAGCATCAGAACGAGAGAATTTAGCTATTCATGACTGTGAAGCTACCCCAGCAGGCTGGCTCACAAGCTGGCCTTGAGTCTCAACTTGAGGAAGCCCCAGAAGAGCCCTCTCCCATCACCCTGCACTCCTCTCAGGCACAACTCATCTAGCTGAGTGGAGCTGTTGGCATGAATTACATCCTCACACCCCTCCCAACAGTCAGCCACAGCTGGCAGTAGTTAGGTGGTGCTGCTCCCCACCTCCAAACATGCCAAAACATGCTCTGAAGCTGCAAAAACCTGGTCCTCAGGCTGCAGGCCCAGAGGAGACAGAGTTCCTGCTCCCTGCCTGATGCATCCCTTCAGCTAGAATTACTCCCAGAACATGAATCCTGCTCATGAAACAGCACGACATTCCCTTCACATTTATCAGAATTGCCTTTTGTTTAATTAAAGAGTACCAGCCTGCTGTGGCTGGGCTCCTCTGTGGGGAGCTCTGTGCCAGTGTTCCCACAGCCCAGGCACCACTGGTCCAGCAAAAAGGAGCCATGGGACGTTTCTCCTGCCTGTGTTGCAACTTGCCAGCATTTCCTCTCCTTGTGCCTTCAACCACAACTGCTCATCATACAAAAATGTAGCTTCCAGAAGTCATTGCTTTCCGTTTGTGTCCAAAAAAAACCCACCCAAACCCAACAAACCCTCCACATTTTAAATAATGGTTGAAACCCTCAATTCCTCCAGCATGATATGATCTACAGGCAAAGGTTCTCTGAATTGATTCTGCTGTGATTTGTGGCCAGGAACTCAAAAACTTTTATTTTTTTAATTGACAGATGTATGAAAGGAAGAAAAGCAATAACCAGAAGCCTGGAAAATAGTCCTTGAATGATGTTCCTCTATTACAGAGATTTATGCAGCTGCTGGGAGGGGAAGGGAAGGCTCTGAAGTGTAATTACTACACAGAGTCGTGTAAGAT